GCATTTCAGTTAAAAAAAGTGAGAAGAAAACTGAAGCATATAAAGCAACTGGCCCCGGGCTAGTTAGGGTGTTAAAGGCTTGACTTAGTTCGTGCCTTTTGTCTCCAAGCTCATTGTTTTTATGCTATGCCAGTAACCTTCAACCTTAATCGCTGGAGAGCTTGCTGAGATGCACGTTCCTGGGGGTTTAGTTTGGGTGTGTTACTATAATGCAAGTGATCAATAGACCAGTTTTGAAAATAGTGCATCCACCACACTGGAATTTATGCAGTGATTGAGATCTGGATCCTGGAGCCAGATGTTTTGTTCCATAGCTGACAGCTAGCTTTGTGATCTTTATCACAAAGTTGCTTTTTCTCTTGATGATTCTGTTCCCTTACCTATAAAATGGGGATTTAATTATAGCTCCAAACCTTGAGGTTTTGTTGAAAATTAAGTTGGCACGTGTGAAAGGGTTTAGGGCAGTGCCTAGCTCAGAGGGCATGCTCGGCGGGTGCCGTTTTTCTGTTGGTACAACTATCTCAGTGATATGTTTGTGAATAATTTGCTCTCCTGACAATTCAAGAATAGAGTTTGTAGTCTGGTGGATAAACTGAAGCCCTGATACATGTCTCAGAAATGGAACTCTGATTGATTGTTGTACTTTAAATTTCAGCCACGTCTAAAATGAAGTCCTCTTTTTTTTGGCCACAGTATCCATGTGGGTATTGAACCTTCTTGAGGCCTTTAGCACGGATTTTCAGGACTATTCTTCTGTTGTAGATGTTAAGGCTACGGGCTGTTGGTGAAACGTGCACTGGTGTGCCCGGGCAGCTTCTGAGGAAGGGTTTTCAAGTGCTGCATCTCCACACGAGCAAGACTGAGGTCTTCAGCTCACTTATCCTTGAACAGGCACCTGAAATGTAGACTAAAGAAATGGGTCTCTGAGATTGTTCTCAGTTTTTCACTGAGAATGGTCCAGGGTTCCTTCATGTCAAAAAAAAAAAAGTTGTAGAATTATGTGTACAGTTGTCTGACTTGTCTGAATTTGGGCCCTTAAAATCCAAGGGACAGTCATTTATTCATTCATTTGGTAACCACATATTCTGCCCTCACAGTGCTTACCAGGCACCGTGCTGGTTGTAGAGTTAAGACACAGTCCTTGCATAGTTCCCAGAGAGGGAGACTCCAGAGCCCTGAGGAGGGGGTACATACCCCAGGCTGGGAAGGACTTCCAGGAGAGCTGATACTGGCTCGATGCTTGGAAGCTGAGGAGCGAGGATACGGCGGTCGGAGAGAGCATGCCTAGCAGAGGCGGCACCGTGAGCGCAGGCGAAGGGTGTGGGATGACTGGGTAGTTCGTGTCGGGAGAGCGAGAATTTGCGGGGTGGAGAAGTGAGACGGGAGGAAAGCACGGATGCTGCGCTAGGGACTTCGGATTTTTATTCAAGTCCGTGGAAGGATTCAAAGCAGTGGTGTGACATAATCAGGCAAATTTTAGAAAAGACAGTAATGTGGATATGGGGAACCTTTCCACCTGAATGTGTGATAAAGATCTTAACACGTCTAAAACCAAACCCCTCTCCCGCTGAACCTCACACAAGAAGACTTCTGTGTCTCCCCCACAGGATACCACAGCTGCCCCGTATGCGTTTCAAGATGATCCTTACCTTATGCCGGCATCCTCCATGGAATCTGTGAGTATTTTCACGTCACTCTTCTGTTTTCTAGTACTGTGTTTTATCGTGCTATTTGGGGCACAAGAGTACGTGTGTAACTTAACTGGAAAGTGTATAGGTTCTGGTAGATAAATTGGTGGATTTTCTAAATCCTTAACTACTTTTATCAAGAAGTTTTAGAGGATTAACTGTGGAGAGGGTATTTGATTTGCATTTTTAATACTTAGGGCTTTTTCACACTCAAGCAATCCATTGAGTTGAAATGCGTTGTTTTTATAAACCTCAAGCTGAGTATGAGATGTGACCTGAAATTGTGTCACGCTCAGTAGCAGAGGTGGCTTTGTAACTGTAATTTCACTTCCAGTTGGGGTTCTGTGTCTTGCTGCATTCTTTTTTTTTTCAGATGGGAGAATAATTCTTGTTGAGTGTGTAATTTTGATCTTGAGTCTAAATTACATAAAATATCAATTTATTTCTCAATCTTTTCCTTTATATAGAATTCATTTTTATTGGCAAAGAAGTCCGGGGAGAAGGCTGCAAAGTTTGTTATTAATTCATACCCCAAGTATTTTCAGAAGGATATAGCTGAACCTCATATACCGGTAAGGAGAGGTAACTGCAGTTTTCAAGTAACACTATGTGAATGTAAATTAAACGTTTATGGCTAGTATTTGAGTAGCTGTTTGAATCCCTGCAATATTTGGATGAAAAGTGTTTCAATGTGTATGGTTACCTTTGCTTACCGTACTAACCTTTTGTCTTTTCTTTTTCTTTTTTTAACTCCTGTGCGTATTTGCTCCTCATTTTATTTTCCCCATTTGGCTTCCATGTCAGCAGCCTCTAGGATCTCTACCTCTGTGACTGCTCCCTTTTAGTTTCCCTCGGAGGCTTTTCTGTCTACTCCTTACCCCTTGATGTGTTTCTTAGGGTTCCATGTTTGGTCACTTTCTCTTCTTTTCTGTCTAAAATCTTCCTGCTTCAACGACCCTTAGACTCCCCTTGGCATTCTTGCCTACCTGGCCTAGATGTCTCTGCTCTGAACTCTAGATTGTGTCTCCAGCTACCTCTGTTCTGTAGTCATGAGGAGCGAGGGTGCAGTGCCTGCTGGGCGTTAGATGTTGTGCTCAGTGTGTCTCACACACTGGTGAGCGAAGCATGCGCTCTGCCCTCCTGAGTTCATTAGTGAGAATAGTAACTCCGGGCTCATTATATCTAAGACCGCTCCCTCACATCTCCCTGCTTTGCAAAACACACACGCAGACCCAGACACACCCCTTATGCTTCTCAAGCAGCAACTCTTAGGGACAAGTTAGGAAGTTGGATTGTGTCCATAAAAATACTGAAGTCTTGAACTAAGACAGTGGCAGCCGTGGAGTGACTCTTTCTTTAGCTCCCTTTTGCTTGAAGCCTTCCATGGATCCCCTGCCTCCGTGGCCGGCAGCACCCTCAGACCTCTGAGCTCTCTTGTGTCATTTATCCTTCACTCTGCATCATAATTGTTTCCTTGTTTGTTCTCTCTGTTAGATGGTGAGCATGTTGAGGGTAGAGAATAACGTTTGTCTCTTATCCCCAGTGTGCAGCTTAGTGCTGGGCGGGAAGTAGTAGGCATTCAGTCAGTATTTGAGTAAATTAGTGAGTGAGGTAAAAGGGCCATACCTTGGCAATGCTGAGTGTTCAGAGACCTGTCAAGGATGAAAGGTCTCTGCCTTTGGAAACCGGGTGTGCTCTGACACCTTTAACCACGGTTGGGAGGAGAGGAGGAAGGGTGGTTTTAGGAAGGGGAAAATAGTAAATTCAGCTTTAAGTTGGGAAATTTAGTTGGAAATAGGATTCTTCAGATGTGGGTTAAATATTTATGTTTGGGTGCTTTAAAGTTTTCCTCCCCAAGCTAGGAGTTGGCTAAATAATCTTGTTCTGGAGACTGGAGAGGCTTTTTTGATTTAAGTTATGGTCCTTACAAAGACATTCATGTTAAAATGATAAATGGTGTCTGGTGCGTGAAACCTGAGCTGGAGCAATGAAGTGTCATTTTGGTATGTTGGTGATGAAAATTTTGTCCCACTTGGTTACCTTTTCCCCTTGTCCTGTTTGTACTAATTTTAGCCGTCTTGTTTTCCTAGTGCTTAATGCCTGAGTACTTTGAACCTCAGATTGAAGATATAAGTGAGGCTGCTCTGCGGGAACGAATTAAGCTCAAGAAAGTCAAAGCTTCTGTGGACATGTTTGATCAGCTCTTGCAAGCAGGTGACTGAGTTCGTTTAAAGCCTCCCCTGGGAATGTGGGCTTGGACGTGGGCCGCAGTCACGTGCGTGGTAGTCGTGGGCCAGGCAGTAGTGAGTAAAGGTTGTAAGTGCTCCTGTACTGACTGCCCAGTGGCTGTGTTTGTGTTTTCAATAGTTTGTTAAGTAGTGTTTCAGGTTCCCCGTTAGCATGTCCTTTCAACTTGTGGGTGAGGTTTAGTTCCAGCTTCGTCAGCGTGCTGTCCTCTTGCTGTGTGTCACAGGTAGAGAAGTCACACAGCTGTTCTTCCCTAGCTTCTGTTTTTTAACCTCAGGTGTGTATGTACTGTGTTCACATTTCGTATACTCCTTAAGTATGTTTAGAAGGTATAAAGCAAACAAGAAAGAAATATTTATAAAGGAAAGAGCACTGAGCTGGGGGGTTAGAGGCTAGGGTAAGTTCCAGCACTAATCAGCACCATGGCCTTGAAAAAGCCACTTAGTTCCTCAGAGCTTCTGTCTCTCACATCCTGCAGCTCTGGATCTGATCTGGATGAGCCTCCAGGAGTATAGATCCAGGTCGCATGGCTTGTAAGCTCCCATGAGAATACACCTGTAGCAGAGTGGACATAGGCAGCAGCACTGTTTATGGGATCCAGAGTGCTGTTCAGTGACTTAACGATAAAAAGCAACCAGACGTACAAGAGATAGAAACTGGACCGAATCACTCAGTACAGTCTTGAACACAGCAAGAAACATTTGCAGAAAACTGTTTTCTTTGAGAATCATGGTGTGTAGCCTGTTAAGGCATCGGGTGTGCAGATGAGTTGCTGGTGCAGGTACACACTGTGGACTAGGCACATGCGTACAGACATCCAGTGAACATTTCTAAAGACAGTGTGTCAGACCCATAACTCAGAGCAATGGAATGACGCAACATACCAGGAGAGGAGGCAGAAAACTTTGTTATCAAGCCCCTCACAAGTGTCACACGCTTCGCTAGGCATTCAGTTCTACAGCACCTTACGAGCTGGCGTGCTTGTCGTCATTTTATAAAGGAAATGGACTAAAAGCAGTTTTTCAGGCCACGTAGCAGTCAGGTTCCGCTCCACTGTCGGTGTTCTCTCCAGTCTGCTCTTTCCTGGGCTTTTAAGTTTCCTGATGGGCATTTTTATTATCAATATATTTTATTCAGAAGATTGTAGTTACTTTTCTTTTAAAACACTAAATTATATTTCATGTTTCTTTCTGTTCCCTTTTCTCCCTCTTATTAAGTGTCAAGATGGG